CTGCATAGATAACCATGATACAGAGCAGTCCAAATGTTTCAAATACTTCAGAGATATACAGTATTTCAAACCTCTTGTAAGAAAACTACACATATCAATGATACCTGTTCTAAAATACTGGTCTCAGCAATTTAAAGATTAAACTGGATAAAGGGAAGAAAATATATTCCTCTCTGACATTATATTATTTGTTGCAAAAATCATCACATTTAATGTTTGAGAACTCAAAATGAACATTCAAGAAAACTTAAATAAGGCCTCACAGTATGTAACTCTGTCCTCCCTCAATTTACTGCCAGCTCCATTGCCTAACATACTTATTTATTCCAATATTACTGTAATAATAATCCAATGCTAGGGTCAAATATATTATTATTTTTTTGAAGAAAAAGAAACCTCAGAAATATTGATACAAATAGCTTTTGTATTTATTCTTTAATATTTATACACAAATACTTTAATGATCTAGTAACAAAGATTCTAAAAATAATTATTCACATGCAGAATAATTCTTCCAAATGTCATCTTCTGAAATAATTGTGTATCTTTGGAAAACTTACAGTATAATACATCTTGTAGAAATCAATTATTTTGCAATTATGTTTTATCGCCACTTGACCATATGGATTGAATCATATTAAGAAAATCATTTACTTAAACAGTAAATTCAGAAATGATGTGAGAGACTATGATAAGGATTTCTACCACTCAACAAATATTGGTATTTTTAGTCCTACAGAATTAACTAGAAACATTTAACGTAAACAGTCTTGTATTTGTCTGTTATCATTTATAAGAAAGTATGATTCACGAATTGCAGTATTAAAGTGGCTTATGCCAGTACATGCTTCATGATTACTTCTGCTTGACATCCTGCCAGAAGGTACTGCTAATAAATCCATAAATTCCATTTGTAGTTTATTTAGCATTATATTTAAAAAGACAGCCTTGCTTGTTGCCTGCGCAAACATTCAGGATTCAGATTTTAGCTTCATAAGGAATAGAAGAAATAGATTGCTTTGAACCTAATACTCAACTTACCATCTGTAAATGCTACCACCGTTTAGCCCTTTGTTGGGAAGAGTGGTGAGTGGAATAGTGTGTTTGGCAAATATACAGCAGCAAATATGCTCATTTTGGTTTATCAGATCCCAAGTGGCATACTGCCTTGCTTTATCTAAAAACTAGAAGCTATGTATAATCCCATATTTGTGAACAAGCAGATTCATCTTTCCCTTAATGTTTAATTTTTTCCTAAGGGTGTTTGCAATATGTTCACAGTATAATATATCACAGAAAATCAAAATCTGGCTTTCATGTCTCTGGATTGTAGCGTTACAAGATGGAAGTTCATTGTGTTTGATCATGACATTAAGATTTATCCAAATCTCTTCCAAAACTTGGTTGTTACAAATAGATGGTTCTATTATCCACCACGCCCTATAGAATACATGCAACTTTAATTTTTTTAAAGTTCTCTGCAATTCTAGAGATAAAGGAAGAATGCTGCCTTTAAGTTTTGAGCTGGGTAGAGAAACACTCCAAGTTCTCCTTAGCTTGCCTCTGCCATGTCCTGATGGCTTTCCCAAATTAGTCAAGTCAGTTTCTCCATGCTCAATTTGTAAAGTCTGTTCCGCTTTTATATTGGGTTGAAATTCTTTAAGCCCTTCTGCACTATTATAACATAAGGAAGTGTTGCAAATAGCTTCTGAAGTAGCAACATATTGTTTCACTTGTTCTACTTCTCTAACAGAAATAACTGGAGGAGCATTTTTAGGTTTAATAGGCAGTTTACATAAAGTGTTTGGAAACCAGGGTATGAAGACTGGCAGCTGCCGCCTGGGAAATTCCTTCAAGGCTTCTTCTGCAATGTTTTGCAATGCTGCAGGGTCCTTTTCCCAAGCTCGATAATGCAGAACCATTTCCATCCTGGTACAGTGGGAATCCATGTCTTATTTTAAAAGTTTTCTGGGTAGGCGTGTCTCAACAAATAAGATGATATTGCTCAAAAGAATCTTATTCTGTGTGCTGTGCAGTTGGGAACAGGACCTAGAGCAGAAGTAATATAAGATACTCTAGCAACTTTTATCATCAAATTCACTGAGATTTTGTTAATCAATATTGTACTAATTTAATTTACCGTAAATATATACCTTTGGAAAAATACCTCCAATGATATATGACACCCTCAGTTTTATTAACAGCTTCTTCCCAGTTTTGTTACTGCCACTGAAACCACAAGAGTTTCTATGTTACTGATATGAAGCAAATGAGTTGGAGCTATAGTATCTTTTGTTTCAATGTTCAGATATTTCCTAGCTGATCAAAACAATAAAATATCTGGAGACATATATATAGGGAAATGGTAAGACATGAAGCTTAGTTTCACATAATGTGTGCGTGTGTGTGTGTGTATTATGTGAAACTAAGCTTCATGTCTTACCATTTCCCTATATATACCTTCTCTATGCCACTCTTCTTCAACCTGAGAGGATTCCCTGATTTTC